TTTAAATCCCAGCTTATTAAACTATATTTACTGCAAGGAAGCAACCTAATCTTACCATGTTTCATTGTCCACAAAAATGGTATAATACCTGTTCTAAAATAGTGGTGTTAGAAGATTGAAATGATGTGCTTCTTGAGTGCAAGGCAGCATTGTCACTCATACTAAGAGCTCAATAAATGCAATTTTCTTTTTATTCAAAGGAGAGAGTTGTACAGTGATTAGAAATATAGCACCTTTCTGGCATTGTTGCAGTTGTTACTCTAGGAAATTCAGTATGCCTTCAAACTTTTATTTGTAAAGCATATCTTTAAGGCACTGAGATAGGAAGAGGTTATTTTTTAGTCTTGTTGGTGTAGGAAACAAACACCACATAAATAGTATAATAAATTAATGTATATCAAACCAATAATTTTAGCTATTAAAGATACTAAGAGTAAATACACAGGGGTTTTAAGAAGAGGAAGGTCATGAAAATCTACTTTAGTTACATCTTTCCTGGTATGGCGTATCTGCTACCTGGACCCTTAGTACAGAATGAGGGAGAAGGAAAACATTAAAGTATGAAGAAGACCTGAAAGATTAAAAGCCTAATGTCTTTGAGCCTGTCATGGTGGCACAGACCCTGAAATCCCAGCACTCAGAAGGCTGAGGCTGGAGGATCACAGGTAGTTCAAGGCCAGCATGGGCTACCTAGTGAATTCAGGGCCAAACTGAACTATAAAGGCAGACCCTGCCTCAAAATACATGCGCGCGCGCGCGCGCGCGCGCGCACACACACACACACACACACACACACACACACACACTAGCATCTTCCTGGAGAAATATTCTTGTGCACTTTTTTTTTTCTCTTTTTTGAGACAGCATCTCGCTTCATAGTTCAGGTTGGCCTTGAACTTTGTAGCCCAAATCGGCCTTGAACTCACTTCCATTATCTTTCCTCAGCCTCTTCAGTGCTGAATTTACAGGTGTACGCCACCATGCCCAGCTTTGTGTACTTTAAATTACTTCCAAATACACAGAGTAAAACGACAGACTAAAGCTGACTGTGTTGATCCAGACAAAGCCAGAGAAAAGGATCCTGTTTTCATAGGTGTATGAATAGCAGATAGTTTATTCTCTAAATGCTTAGGACTCTTAAGCTTAAACCAGAGTGAACCTCACCTTATTACATGTACCTTTCCTTTAAAGCATGAGCCAGATAACATGTACTCCCAATTCTCAGAGATTTCTCCCTTAGATTGAAATACAGAAGTGTTCAAGGTCCTACAAAATCTGTACCTGCTGACTCCATTAAGTAATCTTATCAATTTGACTTCATTTCTTGCGACTTATCTTCTCCTACACTCTGTCCAGCTATTGTAGCTTCCTTCCATTTCTAGGAATAGTATGTTAGAAATGCTACCACTTTACAGGCTTTATACTTGGCTGTTCTTTGTATCTATAAACTTTGAATTTCAGATATGTATGTGGTTTGCTTCCTTTGCCTCCTCAGGTTTTTATAAATGCTTGATAGGCTTTCTCTGATCATCTTATTTAAAATTGCTTTTCTCGCTCACATTTCAAACTGTTCCTGTTGTTTTCCTTCCATAGCACTTTGTATTTCTAAAAATAATTTAATTTTCTCTTTAGATCCCTCTGTCATATAAATTCCGTGAGAACAGAGAGGGGTTTTTGTTTTGTTTTGTTTGTATCAGAGATCGAACTCAGGCCCTCACATTTGCTGGGCAGGCACTGTGCTGCTGAGCTATATTTCTGGCCCCTGAGAGATTTTTGTTTTTCTTTCATGCAGTGCCTGATTTCCATTGGCTAGCACAAAGTAGTCAATAAATATTTGTTAAAGGAAATAACTTTCTTCTGAGCTGTAAAAGAACTACATCACTACAGACTTTTCTTTACTAGTCCTGAATAACCTAAGTGGAGTCTTTTTGAGGGATTATCAGATTATTTGGTTAATATAAATATATACTTTGAAGTATATCAACCTATAGATGTGTTCACAATTTATTTGTTTCTTTTAGGAATATGTAATGGTTGATAAATTTGATTTCAGTTTAAGAGAATGGAAGAAAGTATATACTTGATGAAGGAATCAATGATGTTTTTGAAATTGGTGAGAGGTTTGCAGAATAATCAACATGTGTCTTTCAAGTATCACAAGATAAGAATTAGTTCCTTAAGGCTATTAGTTCCCTTGATGGAAATCAGTGGAAATTTTTAGGGATCCAGTAAAACATTTTAGGAATTTGATTTTTTAGTCATTAGGATAGTTAGGGAAAATAAGCCAAATACCAAAGGTATATACAAAGAAAAGCTTGGTACATTTGAGGTTTGAAATAATTTGAACAAAAGCAATTGAAGAAATGGCCAAACTGGGAGAAATTGAGAAAAAGCAGTAATAGGAAGTTGGAAACAAAGGCAACAGGTTTAAAAATGCCTTCAAGATTGTGCTTTTAAGGGATAGAAAAGTAAATTTTGAAGTACCATCTTGGCATTATCATTGTTTTTGTTTAAGCAATAAGAACTCTAGCTCTCACATCCCCCTAAATAACAGACAGAAAATACATGAAGTGTTGCTGTGGACTGTTTTTGATTAATTAATTTTTTTTCTGTTTTTTTTGTTTTTTTTTTTTTGACACAGGGTCTCACTATGTAGTTGAGACTGACCTGGGACTCATTATATAGCCCAGGCTGGTCTCAAACTCAGGGATCCTCCTCCCTCACCCTCTGGAGTGCTGGGATTACAGGCCTGCACCACCACGCCTGGCTCAGTTTATGGACTGCTTTTGTAATAAGATTTTTTTGCCTAGTTGAGACAGCTAGGGTGTTAAATATTTGCATTAAGGGTAGCAGTATACATAATGTTGTTTCCAATAAAGAGTAGCTAATTTGTATTAGATATATTGGTTTGTAGAAATATGGAAATGATTTGAGGGAAAACAAAGTTACATGTATAAAGAAATAACTTCTTTTTAAAAGTTTGAGGGCTTTTAGTTAAAGTTGCTGCTCTTGGATGGAATTTTCTGAAGCTTAACCCCAAAGCTGCATTTTACTTCTGCTAGTGTTAATTTAATAGATGACAGTTGTCACTGCAATTGGAAACAAATTTTATAGCAAAAAGTTCATAGCAGAAAGTATATTCTTGGCCTTTTGGGTATGTTGTGCTCTCACATAGCCTACTAGGTACAAGGCAGATCTAGGTTACAAAGTAGTAGAGTAGTTGTTTTTCAGCGAAGTTACTGTTCTTACCTTTTCGTGTTTTCTTATTCCTCTGCCTTCCCAGTTGCTCAGAACACACTTTCCTCCAGCTTCCTGCAGAATTTAACACTTTTGCATTAGTGTTAACACAAAATAAAGTAAAGTAGATTTAGCCTAGATAGAACAACCAGTATTTTTAAGCACCTTGGCTCCAGTCCTACAAGCAGGAATAAAATAACACATGGTCCTTATTGTGAGAAACTCACAATTGCTCTAGTGGTAGAGCATCCAAAATATATAGTTATGCTTAACAGATATACACAAAGAGCTGGTTTTCTATTTTATAGTCCTGGCAAAAAATAATTTTGTGTAAAATATAAAAAGTAATGTCACATGGCTTTTCTTTGTTGACTCTAAAGCTTGTTTTTTAGAACTGTATGTTATTTTTAAGAATTGTGTTTCTTATAAACACAATACTTGTTTTTTGTATTGTTTGGCCAGTTTGTTACAAATAGATTGAAATGGCATTTTGGGTTTATATATTGAGCAAAATACAGCTTTACTTCAACTTGTTCAGATTTTACATTAAAAATTATCTTTTCATTCCATGTGTTCTGAATTTTAACATTTAATTGTTAAGCTATATTATTCACTCTTTTGAGAACTTTTGATTTTCTGTCTTTCAAAAAAATTTTTCCCTAACACTAAAGCTCTTGTTATGTAAAGAAATGTGTAAAAACCCATTACCAAAATATCTTTCTATGATAACAGGATACCTTTTTCTTTCCTTGCCTTGGTATTGTACCTTGTTAAACTTCTCTCTCATATGAACTTTCTTAGAATCAGGCAGTTCCTGGTTCCTATGGGACTTCCTGTTTTCTCAAATAAAAATAGAAAAGCATCTCAGAAAGGAAACCTGGTCAGTGTGAACTATTTTGTAAGATCAGTTTTAGTTGTGACCTGGATTATACAGATACATCATGTATATAAAATATATAAATGTTTTAAGTAATTGAGAGCTTTGAATATTTTTGCATAATATTAAAAGATGATAGCTGAAAAGATCTGAACAACCATGAGAAATGTTACACTGTTCAGTCTTAAACTTGTTTGTCTTGGGAGAGTGGGGGGGTAGAAAGATTGTATGGGAAATATTAAATCTTTCCTATTACATAATTCAATGTTTTATTGGAAATTCAGAGTTGTCTGAGACTTAATTGTTAGCTACTTTGATCTTTTTTTCTTGCCACTTTTCAATATTAGCAAAGATTAGTAAAGTTTTTATTATCAGAAACCAAACTTCTTAATGAATTATTAAGTTTTAAAGCATCTTATAGTCAAGTAGTTTACTGCTTTTAGTTTGTATTTTGAAAAGGCAGAAGCATGATAGTCATTAACTGTAGTAGTAAGAATAATGGATTATTTCATTTAATTTTGACAACTATATAAGGTAGGTATCATTGTTAGGTTTTTTTAATAGAAGAAATTATAACATAAAGTGGCTAAGTAGATGTTACTTTAAGCAAATGATGCTAATAACTAGTAGATCTGGGAGTTGAATTTAGTGCCTGACACCAGAGTACTTGGTAGTCTTGAAGAAAACCACAAATTATGTGAGAATTGGTTAGTATTTGTCTGAAAAGTTACTTCCTCAACTTTTATTGTCATTAGTTTGTTTACATTTTGCTTGCATATTTGCATTTAATTTTAGCAAGCTACATTCTGATTTCAGAGGACTTGTTTAGGAGTATTTAAATTCTTAAGTGACACTAATAGTTTTCTTTTTTTCTTTTCCTTAATAGTAAAAAACTCATTTGATGAAACATTTGGAAAAATACAAGTAAGTAAAAGATCATAATATTGATATTTTATGTCGTGTTTTATATAATAAAAGTATTCAAATAATTTTCAAAAAATGTAACAATTCTTTTAGTCTGAAATAATACATTTCCTTATTATATTTCTCAGCTGTAATTATAATTATGTTTGATATAGATTTTCTCCTAAGAGATGAACTCTTAATCACTAACATAAAACCAACTGTCAGATAAAATTTAAGTGGCATATCATCCATGGATCTGGGTCTTACACTTAGGAGTATGGGTCTTGTCTTAAGTTGTTGGATACCTTAGCAGGTTTTGTCTTATTTCTCCTGTAGCGTATTTTGTGTATTCGCATACCTGTTCAACCATCAGGAAGGCAGAGGATTTAGAAAAGACACATATGGGGCTACTATTTAAGTTTCCCTTTCTTTTCAGAGGTTGCTGTATTAATTTGCTTTAACCTTAGGTATACTTAGGTACAAATATTTTTCACTTAACCATCATTAGGCACTTTGAAGATTAAGATATTTAATCAAGTTTATATATAGTAATTCACAATTAGTTGTTTATTTTTTAATATAGGGATTAACAGTTGCCTAGGTCTTGTAGAAAGCATTATTTGTTGTACTGAAAGATGTGTAGTTAAGTATAATCAGATCCACAGAATATCACTTTCAATTAAGAGTGGTACTATGAAAATAATTACTTTCAGTAATATTCTATAGTGTTACTTGTTTTAAGTTGACTTTGTTGGTTGCAGTATTAAAATCTAAAAAAGCTATAGCATTGTAAATTTAGTATGCTCTACTTGAAAATATTAGACTATCTTCTTTGTAATTTTGCCCATAGAAGAGGCTAAAGTTCTGCATCCCCAAATAGGTCTTTGGTTTGCAGGTTAATTAGAGAAGCCAGTATTTAAGATGTATTTCAAGCTGAAATGTTAAGAAACAATCTGATAGAATGGAGAAGTGTGTAATAAAACTATAAGCCAATAGGAAAGTAACTTTAAAAATTTTGTATACTTTTCAGATTTACTTCTACAGGTGTATCTGGTACAAAAAATAATTGAACTAAAGCCTTTCTATGTCTTTCTCAAAATGCATGTGTAGAGTTAATATACATTGTAAAAAAACTTTAGATCATAATTTAGTTGGTCTTTTGGGTGGCACTTGAGACCCTTGTATATAGTCAGTATGAATAAATTTTCAACAGAAAAAAGTTTTTTGAAGAAATTACAGTTGAGCTTTTGAGTTTAAATTCTGTTTGAGAATGTAGCGCTATATGTGTAATCTAGTATGAGATTCAATTCTGTCTGCTTAGATTTTATTTCTTTTACTTGTCAGTCTAGCAGTAATATCTATGAATCAAAAGATAGTTTATTCCCGAGTCTGTTCATTAAAGACATAATCACAGAGGACATATGCCAAATTTTCAAATTTTGCTGTTTTAGAAAAGGGAGTAAGATATGATCAAATACAAAATAAAAAGGAAATTAGTCTCTTTTCCAGATAAGAAGCATACTGTAAACTTTCAGCTGCTTTACTTTTGTAACTAAATCAGATTCATCTTAGTTTTATATCAAGTCCATAGCTACATTGTCAGATTTTTATTGAAAATTATTTTGTAATTTATTGTATCACAGATGTATAGCTTTTAGAATTTTGAGTATCAGCCTATACTTTTCTTTTTTTGTTTGCTTTGGTGTCTGATTCTTGTAGATTTTAATCTACAATGTGGAGTTAGGGATTGGCGTGATTCAAAATCTTATTGACCTAGTTTTGAGGTGGGAAGAAAGGTAAAAGGTAGTCAGCTGAACGAGATAATATCTTGTGTCTGTCAGCCATATGACTTAAAACCAGAAACTGGTGGTAGGATTTTGAAAACTTTAAAGATTATTGCTTTTCTGATGTCAGTGATCAAAAGCCGCATTGGCAAAAGCATGCTATCTTTGTGCAAACTTATTGTCTTTTCTTGAACATCTACCATAAAAACAAATTAATGAGGTACTATGTCATTAGAGATATAAATGTTACTTTCCTAGCCTTTTATATCTTGCCTGAATTTGTCCCATGGTAATATGTATCCAGGAATCCTGTTTTATTAGACATTTCAAGAAGAAAGGAAATAATAAAGATACAGCACCCCTCCCAACCATGAATCACATAGTATGAAAACTGTTACCCCTTCTCTTAAACTTCCTTGTGGCCTATATTGGTCCATTTTATTTATAATTTTTAAATTAGAAATATCATTGCTTTAGGCTATTTGGCATGGTTCTTAGATAAATACCATTACAATAGTCCTTTCTATGCCTTTCTTTTACACTATCATTTGTGTTTCTGGGCTGTCTTACAAGTTCTGGTCAGAGGAATATTCTTGATGTGTACACATCTGGTTTACTTTCCTCCTCAAATTTTCTAAATGAGGTCTTTGTCTTGTTATCTAGGGCTCTCTGGCAGAAAATTTCCAACTACTTTTCCAGTGGTCTGCTAAGTCAAGTGAGGCACCAGTTATATAAGAATTATGACCAATACTTTCATGCCTTTGCTCATGCTGTTCCTTCTGCCTAAAATGCTAGTCAGTTCTAGACTATCCATGAAAATCAACTTAAATATTCTCTGTTCCATAAAGGGGTCTTCTCTTCTTCCTTTTGTATTTACATTGCACTTTACAACTATCATGTAATACTTCATTTTATATTGTCCTTGAGAACAGAAATCATATTACTCTCACTTTACTGGCAGAACAGTTCTTAACTGCTACTTCTTAATTTCATCAAATGTTTGCTTCACTTTTGTGGTTCATAAGATTAAAAAAAATACAAGAGCATATTTAAATATTTTTTATGTGTTCTTTAAAAAAGAGTATTCTTCAGCTGCTCCAGTGCAGAGATAGAACTCCTGGCAGAGCATAAGATTAAACAGGGCCATCCTGGGAGCCTAGGAGAGGGTGAGCTCCAAATACTAATATTCATTCTCTTAGTTTTGTATGGTTCAGTCAGATTAAAACAAAACATGAAGGTAGCCTTGAAGGAAAAGTGTTAAAACAGTCTTGCATTGTATAGAGGGGGACTGGAAGCCTTCCTTAATGTTACAAGAGTTTATTGTGTATGAGACCTTTTTTGTTAGCAGTAATCTTAGTGCTAACTCTTTAATCATCCTCAACAAAGTAAATATTTAAAATAACAATTTACAGGTTTAAATTTTCTTAAAATATAGTGGCCATTGTTTAAGAATTGTTTTAGATTCTGTAGCTTCAATGATTCTAAATTTATTTCCTATTTTTATTTTTGAGTAAGAATTATTAGCACATCTTATTAGAATTGGATATTTCATAATCTCTTTTAATTTTAGGAAAGTGAGAAGAATCTTATGTTGAGCACATTATATAAACTTCATGATCGATTGGCACAGCTTGCAGGTAATTATTTTAACATTCATAGTTTCTAAAAGTTAATTTGTATATATGTGTTGTGTTACCAGTAGAAATAGTCTTTCTCATTGCTTTGTTTTATTATATTTATGGAATATATTTACATGCTTTTATTATCTATAGTGTTTCATTAAATATATGTAGATATAAATATATAGATATAGAAGGCCTTTTTCCTGTCATATGTATATTGTGATATATATTTTTATGTTAAACTATTTCTCTGTTGCATTGATAGTAACAAATATTTGAAAATTTAAAAAGCAGTTGAATTGAGTAAGCAGTGAATAACTGAAATCTTAGACTAACCATAAAAATATAGATTTTTTTTTTGGTGGTTGTGTAATATCTTCCCTTGGATGAAGTAAATATATGGTCTTAGAATATTCTCTCCTGATTTATTGAATTTTCCTTATATTCCAAGTAAGTCTTTGAAAGGTCTCAAGTATCAACACGTCTTCAATTATGATAATTTGTTGAACATGAATTAGTATCAGTTTTAGCATGTTTAAGCTACAGTATAAGCATATCTGTTAACATTTAATGTTTTAAAGATATTCTAATTTTACATAAAATATGAAAGAAGACTTTAGATTTCCTTCTCAGTTATATGAAAATAAAAGTATAGTTTTTCAAACTTTTTGATGTAGCAAACCCCTTTTTTTGGAAAACAGGTGATTGATAGTAGCCTAGTGGATAAATGTGGAATTTCTGTGATGGAAAGTTGGTATTTAAGATTCTTACAGTTGCCCAACCTCTCACCTTTTTTTGTTTGTTTTTATTTGGGTCCTTAATTCAAGTTAAGGCTTATAATTCTATGTATATCACTGAATGTCTTCTTTGCATTGGCTCACTGATTTTCATAGTCATATACTGCAAGCTAAAGACTTTTATTTGGTATGCTTTTGTATCCAGAAATAGGTTAAATATATTCTCTGGCTAGAAAATCTTGATGCTACTAACACAAGCATTTATGGCTATCTGTGTAAGATTGTTGTATGTCTGTGGCCCAAAAGATAGAATAATCTGGGTTCCATTTAAAGATACAGATTCCTTCCTCTACAGTAGAACTTGGAAAACTTTTTTCCTGTGAAGGCCTCATACTAGATAGTTTAGGCTTTGCTGGCTAGACAGCCTCTCTCCAAGCTACTCTAGATAGACTCTCTCCAAGCTACTCAGTTCTGCTGTAACAGCACGAAAATAACCATAACTACTAAAGAAATGAATTAATTTGATTGCATTCCAATTAAATTTCATTTATAAAAAGCAAGTGGCAGGACACATTTGGCTTTGGGCTATAGTTTGGTGACCTCTAGTGTAGATCTATGGAATTCGAATCTCTTAGGATGCATTATGAAACTTGAAGGCTTATTTACCAAATGGGTTCTTTGTTCTTCCTCATCACTATTACCATTAAAATCTAGCTACTTAAATGAAACTGGTAAATAAGCACATGGTTCCTTTATTATAGAAAAATGTGCCAAGGCTTTTCCTTTAACTATTGTACTTATGTGTTTAAAAATTTTTAAAACTGCTTTATTTTTCATAACCATGTATATAGCCTATAGAAAAAGCTTTGAATTCTCTTCTTAAATTAGTTACAAGAAAAGTATCATTTTTTTAGACTTTTATAATACATCCCTTCGTAGAAGTCAAACCATAGATAGAAACTTGTACCTAGTTTTCCTGTTGGTCTGTGTTACAATTTTTCAGGTGTGTACACCTCTTGTTAAAGACAGTCTTAGTTATACTATGAAAATGCACTTGTTTTAGGACAGTGATTAAATTCAAACTTAATTGAATCTTTGAATTATCATTAAGAATGGATATATAAGTTAGCCCAGTGAACTTGCTAGATTTTTTTCCACTTTAGGAATAATACATATCTGGAAAGAACTTCCTAATGTATCAAGCCATGGTTTCTACACAGGTTTGCAGTTCAGTTGGGAACAAAAGAAGAAAATACATTCTTACCTGGATCAAAGTGCCTTTAAAGATTGTGGTTTCTATAAGGGTAGTTGTTTATTTACATTAATTACTAGAATTTTCTGTAGAAAATATGAACAGTATTAGCCATAATCTTTCTTTACTGATTAGAATAGTATAACTTATAATTGTATAATTGGTAAACATTTTGAATTAATTACATTTTGTTTTGTTTTTAACATTGTACTGATTCAAAACAATATGCTAATCTTTCTAGGAGATCATGAATGTGGAAGTTCTAGTCAGAGAACACTTTCTGTTCAAGAGGCAGCTGCATATTTAAAAGTAAGCAGTGAAATTAGAATTTTAATAGCTATATTCTTAAAATTTATATAAATTTATAAAAATCATTGCTACTTATATCAGAAGCATCATGCATTTGATTAATTGTACTGTTTTTGTTTGTTTTTGGTACCAGGGATCAAACTCTGGACCTTGTGCTTGTGAGGCAGGTGGTGGCACCACTGAGCTAAGTCCCTGGCCCAATTATTTGTACTGTTGTTAAAAGCTCAACTTATTGTTTGGTGTAATGCGAGTACATGAGTAGATAAGAGAAAGTGAAATTTCCTGATATATTTTGTTTTAGTTTGCTTTATAACATTCTGTCTGAGAGAATACACATTATTTTGGAAAAGGTGTAAAATCTCTTGGTGAGCTAGGCATGGTGGCCCATTGCTGTAGTTCTACTTTAGAGGCTGAGTCAGGAGAATCACCTGGTGCTTAGGAGTTTGAGTCTAGTCCGTGATCTCAAAAAAAGAAAAATAGCTGGGTGTGGTGGTGTACACTTGTAATCCTAGCACTCAGGAGGCTGAGGCAGGAGGATCGCTGTGATTCGGAGAACAGATTGGGCTACATAGTGAACTCCAGGTAAGTCTCAACTACATGGTGAGACACTGTCAAAAAAGAAAAATAGATTGGTAAGAAAGAGCTTGAGATAGGTGATTAGCATGTAAGAAAACAAGCATGGAATTGGGCATGATAGTACATGCCTATAATCCCAGCATTCTGGAAAGCTGAGATAAGATCACAGGTTCGAGCCCAGCTTGGACACATTAGTGACTTAGTGAAAACCCATCCTAAAATAAAAAAATTAAAAAAGGGCTGAGGATGTAGCCCATTCAGCTTCATTCCTCAAAAAAAAAAAAAATTAAAGAAAAGAAAGAGGCCTCTAATCCAGTGATGGTGAACCTTTTAGAGCTTTCAATGATATAAATAGCCTTCTGTGGCATGAGGCTATAGGTTTGCCTCCACTACTTCTAACCACTTATTTTAACCAGTTATTTTAAATCTTTCTCCTAGATTGTTTCACTTCAGTGTAGTAATAGAATTTGCAGATGAATCTTCTAAACTTCTGTAAATAATTTTTGAGAAATTTTGGATGAAAAGAAAGGTACTAGAGGATTGTAGATGGACAGATGTCATTCTGTTTTCTAAAAAGGGGAGAGGAAATTTGAAAACCGTTCTGGAAAGCTTTATGTTACTGCAGTTTCATAAAGATAATTCCATAGAAACCATTGAGTACTTGCAAATGGAAATGTTGATTCTTAAGTGCTGCCTGGCATAGGTTCAATGTGAGTATGTCATGTCATGCAGACATTATCCCAGCCTTTTTTAAAGATTATAAAATACTCATAAAATCTACCTTACTACATTTTTAAAGGTACAGTACAGTATTGTTAACTGTGCACTGTTGCACATCAAATCTCTAGAATGTTTTCATTTTCATTGACTGAAACCCTATTCCATTGCAGAGCAGCTTCCATTTTCCTCTCCTTTAGACCTCTGGTACCCACCAGTCTACTTTCTGCTTCTATCAGTTTAATATTAGTATCTCATATACACAGAATCATGCATTACTTGTCCTTCTGTGACCAGCTTATTTTACTTAGCATAGTGTCATCAAGGCTTATTCATATGGTAGCATATCACAGTATTTTCTTTTTTTGAGACTGAGTAATATTCCATCACACATACAGAGTCCACTAAAAGTATGCCCACATCAGGGGGAAAAAACTTGTATGAATATTTTAATATTAAATTTATTGAAGGCCAGGGATTTAGCTCAGCGGTTCTGCCACCTGACTTACAGTCAACCCGAGTTCGATCCCCGGTACCAAAAAAAAAATTATTGAGGCATCATGAGATTAATACAAGTTACCTTTGGCTTCTACAAGTACAAAAGGTGTTTAGAGTGGTGACCATTAGCTTCCAGGCATTTATTAGTACAGACTGCTGCTTGGGTAACTTTAGTCTCTGAGATGGTTGCACATGCATTTTCAATTTCTTCTCTGAGGTCTGGGAGTGTTACAGTGGTGAGTTTTCTGTGATATACATCTTCAAGGGTGCCCTATATGAGGGGGACCCATATGTTGAAAAACATCATACTATTTTCTTTTCCTGAAGTGTATTTACATTTTTTTGGTAGATTGTATACATATAAGCCCCCACACATTTACTCATACACAAACACACATTTTCTTTATCTGCTGATAGATTTTTGGATTATTTCTCCTTGTTTATTGTGAATAATACATTCCTGTGAACATAGAAATGTAAATGTCTCTTCAGGATTTGGCTAGCAGTTCTTTTGGATAAATGCCCAGAAATAGGATTGTTAAATCATTTGATAATTGTTTTTTTTTTTTTGAGGAATCTACATACTCTTTTCTGTAATGGCTCTGTTTACATTCCCACCAACACTGTACAACACCTGTCTTTTATAAGATACTATCTAACAGGTGCAAGCTGGTGTTTCATTGTGGTTTTGATTTTCATTGCCCTGCTGATCAGTGATTTTTGATCATCTTTTCATGTCCCATTTCTTTATATTGTATACATCTATATGTGCTCATACCATCTGTTGGCATTTGTATGCCTCTAGTCTTTTCCCCATTTAAAAAAACTGAATGATATTTCATTATTGGGGTTGTTGTTTTGGTTCCCTGTGTATTTCATTAGTATTATATATTAATATTAGATACAAAGCATGCCATTAGGTTCTTTTGCTTTCTTATTTCCTTTGTTACCCATAGACTTTAATACAGTTCCACCTGTCTACTTATGCTTTTAGTGCTATATCTAAAAATTCATTCTTCACACCAATGTCATGAAGCTTTTCTTCTATATTTTCTTGTAGTTTTATATTTTTAGTTGTAAGTCTTTAATCCACTTGAGTTGATTTTTGTGTATAAACATCTGTCTTAGTTACATTTCTCATTGCTGCAAAAAAAATACTTGACACCCAAAATTAAAGGAGAAGATGTTTATTGTAATTCACAATTTGTAGAGGTTTCATTTCATAGTTGGCTGGCTCCAAGGCAAGGTGACATGAAAGAGGGGCATTACAGAGGAGAAACAGTTCATGGTGAGCAGAAAGCACCAAAGCAGCAAAGTAATGAAGAAGCAATTAGCAGCAACAGCAGCCCTCTTTCTGTCCCTTATATTCTATCCATGCTGAATGTCTTTAGGGGAGGTAGCATTCACACCCAGAGTGGCGCACCCTTAATCCTAGCATCGCATCATGAATTAATCCCAATATCACATCCTTAATGCAAGCATCATACACTCTAGGTCCAGCCACCTCTGAATAGCTCCAGGTATGACCACATGAGGCTTTGGGGGAACAGCTGATACAAGCCCAAAATACTCATGCACATCCCTTTATAAGTCATTTAGTCTATCTCCAAGAATTATCAGAGTTGTAGCGGTTTCAGCATTGCTGAAAAGTCGAACTCAAAAGTCTTCTCTAGATTTAAGGCAAACTCTTATATGCGAGCCCTGGTACAAATGGAAAGTAAGACTTTCAACATACAGTATAGCATAAGATACATACAGTACACGACAGACATTAATCTTACAAGTGAATTGGCCTTTTTATCATTATATAATGTTCTTCCTTATGTAATACTTTTGGACTTAAAAGTCTATTTTATCAAATGTAAGTATGTCACTGTTATTGTTTATTGCTATTTGCATGGAATATGCTTTTTTGTTCTGTCACTTGTAGCAGCCTATGTGTGTCCTTAGATCTAAACTGAGTTATTGTACGTGGAATATAGTTGAATTTCATTTTTTAAAATTCATTCAGCCATTCATTGTGTTAATTAGGAAATTTAACCCATTTATATTTAAAGTAATTACTGATAGGAAAAGGCTTACTATTACCATTTCTGTTTTTTCTGCAGCATTTCTGTAGCATTTCTTGTAAATCATTTATGGTTATGGTGTTGCTGAACTCCCTCAACTTTTATTTATCTGGTAAAATTTTTCTCCTTCATTTTTGAAGGATAGTTTTTTTGGATGTATTGTGGTTGGCAGTTTTTTTGTTTCTTTTAGCATTTTGAGCACATCTTTTTATTCTTCTGCTTTTTAAGGTTTGTGCAGAAAATCTGCTGATAGTCATGTGTCCTTCTTTGTACATGCTGAGCAGCTTTTATCTTATTTTTTTCAAAATTTTGTCTTTGACTTTTGACATTTATTTGATTATGTCTTTATGTGGTCTTATTCATTTGGGTCTGTTGAGCTTCTTGAATTTCGGTGTCTACCTCCTATGCAAATTTAGGGAGTTTTTGGCTATATTTTAAAGTATGTTTTCCTCCTCCTGTTTCTGTTTTCTTTTGGTACTTCCATAATGTGTATATTGGTCCATTAGGTGGTGTTTTATGAGTTGCTTGTCTTTCCTCATTCTTCTTTCTTGCTGTCTTTTCCTGCCTGGAGAGTATCAAATTTTTTTTTTTAAGATATTTATTTATTTTTAATTAATTACTTTATTGGTACATTTTAGGTACACAATATGATGACATTCATCTTTGGGAATTTGTACATTTACATATATATATTGGTTCTTGTTTTTTCCCCCATTACCCTGCCCTCCCTTCAACCCCTCCACTTGTCCCTATTTACAAAGACTCTGTTCCCATTTTCTCCTTTTCTCATATTTATTCCTTTTCCTTCCCTACCTCTCCCACTTCCCCTTCCCCTGTGGGCCTTATCTTCCTATTTCACATTTTGATCCTTATTTACACTTTCAGTTTACTGGTTACTGGATAAAGAAGTTTTTTTTTTAAATTTTTTAATAAAATGGTGACCACTCAGCCATAAAAAATGAGACATATTTATAGCTAAATTGAGGCCATACTCTATAAGTGAAATAGGATACACATGTGTAAATACCACTAGTTTCTCTGGTGTGAGAAACTCAAATGGTTCTTTGAGGTTGCTGGTTCATTTTTTTTTTTTTTCATTAATACTGCTCTTGAACCTCTTTAATGAATTTTTTTCAATTT